GCATCCCAGGCCCACAGATCCCCTCCAGCCCCACAGATCCACATCCCAGCCCCACAGATCCCCCCTTCCCCAGCTCGCCCCACTCACCCCCACTCTGGTTGTACCGGATCTGCAGCCTCTTCAGGTCGTCAGGGTCCTGGTACCGGTCCCTCTCGCTGAAATGGGTCTCTGTATCCCAATATCCCGGCTCAGCTCCGGCCGCCATCCACAGAGTCTGCGGCTCCAGCCGGCCCCGCTCGCTGTTGTAGCATGCGAAGGGGATCCCGTCCACAGATGCCACGGCCATGTACTGGGGGAGCCCTGGGCCAGGCTCCGACACCGCCACGCGCACGTAACGCAGGGAGTGGAGAACTGGGGGGACACCGACATTTGGGGGGTCTGGGGGTCCCACGGTGAGAGACTGAGGGGCCAGGGGGGATCATGGGTAAAGGAAAGATGGAACTGGGAGAGCTGGAAGAGCCAGAAAGGGGCTTGGGGGTCCCAGGGTAAAGGAAAGAGGGATGCAGAGACAAGGAGAGGTGGGATAGGGGTTGCAGGGGGTCCCTGTGCCCAGGAAATGGGGGTCCAAGGGGGTGCAGAAGGGTCCCCATGCCCAGGAATGGAGGTCTGGGGGGTCCCAGGGTCAAGGAAAGGGGGTGAGGGCACTGGGAGAGGCAGGATGGAGGTTCAGGGGGGGTCCTGTGCCCAGGAAAGGGGGGCACAGTGGTCCCCAATGTTGAGGAAAGTGGGGTCTGAGAGCCGGGAAAGGCAGGAATGGGGGTCCAGGAGGTCCCAGTATCAAGGAAAGGGGGGATCATGGGATGGAGAGACCCAGGATGGCCAGGAATGGGGGCCCGGGGGTCCTCGGTGTAGAAGAAATGGGGGTTTGGGGGCTGGGGAAGGCAGGAATGGGAGTCAGGGGGGCTTAGGGTCAAGCAAAAGGTGTCTAGGAGAGGTGGGATGGCTGGGAAAAGGGGTGCAGAGCGATATTGGTGCAGGATAGGGGGGCCCAGGGGGGTGCTGGTGCTGGGGAAGAGGGATTTCAAGGGGTCTCAGAGTTAAGGAAAGGGGGGGAAAGGGTCTCGGAGAGGGGGGATGGGTGGTCCAGGGGGTCCCTCTGCCAAGGAAAGGGAGGTCCTGCTGCTCCCAGTTTCGAGGAAAGGGGGGTCACGGGGTGGGGAGACCCAGCATGGCCAGGAATGGGGGTCCTGGAGGTCCGTGGTGCTGCGGAAAAGAAGGGCTGGGGGCTGGGAAAGGAGGGAACAGGGATCTAGGGGGTCTCAAGGTCAAGAAAAAGTGCCGGATAAAGGGGTGCAGGGGGTCCCTGCGCACAGGAACGGGGGTTTCAGGTGGTCCCGATGCTGGATAAGGGGATTCAAGGGGGACCCAGTGCCCAGGAATGGGGGTTCAGGGGCGTCCCGGTGCCAAGAATGGGGGTTCAGAAGGGCTCCCGTGCCCGGAAGTGGCGGTCCAGGAGTTCCCGGTTCCGAGGGCCCCACTTACCCTCCGCCGCCCCCGCCGGGGTCCTCAGGAGCCCCAGGACCCCCAGGAGCGTCCCCAGCCCCAGCCCCAGCGCCATGGCGCTGCTCCGCTGGCCCCGCCCACAGCCCGGGCCCCGCCCACAGAGCCGCCTCCGGCCCCGCGATTGGCGCCGCTATTTCCTGACCGCCAATGGCAGCACGATCTGCTCGTGACGTCTCCGGTCGCCAAGCAGATCCTGGGCGCGCAGTTTGGGAGACGGAAGTGACCGAGGGATCGCGGGGGGGGCGGGGATGGGGGAATTCCTGGGAATTCAGCTGGATCCCCTTTGGGACCCCTCCGGGCACCCCCGAATCCCCCTCGGCCCCCCTGCGACCCTCCTCGGCCACGTATTGCGGGACCCGCGGGCCGGGCTGAGCTGAACTCCCGGGCCCTGCGCTTAAACTTGGCCTCCTTAAACCCGCTGGTTTGGGGCCAAAGCGGGGGAAGCGCCGGGATCTGCGGATCCCGCGGGGGCGGGGGGCGATCTCCCTGTGCCAGTGCCCTCCCCGGGCAGCCCCCACTGCTCCCCGCAGACCCTCCTCATCCCTCCTGGATGCTGCGTTCCAGAGCTTCCCAGGGACAGCTCCGGCGTGTCCCGCCCGAACTCCTCCCAGAGCAGCTCCTGGGCCGTTCCTTGGGAGACACCGAGGGGGAAAAGCTCCAGTTTTGGCTGCGTGTGCCGGTCCCCACTCCCGGCGGAGCAGACTGGGCGCTGGGACTCCGGCCCCTGATCCCGAATCTCCTTCTCTGTCTTTCTCGTCTCCCTTTCCTCGGGGTGATCATAAATTCCAGAGGGGCTGGAGAACCCCTTTTCCAGTCGTGGGTTTCCCAGGGAAGTGGGTGCAGGGGTATCCCAGTGTCCAGGAATGGGGGTTCAGAGGGGTGCCAGGGTCAAGGAACGGGGGGGGGATGGGGGCTGGGAGAGGTGGGATGGCCGGGAAAGGGGTTGCAGGAGGTCTAAGAGCCGGATAAGGGGGTGCAGGGGGGTCCTGGAGCTGGGGAAAGAGATGTAGGGACGTCTCAGTGCCCAGGAATGGGGATTCAGGGGGGTCCCAGGGTCCAGGAAATGGGGAGCTCCCAAAAGCCCTCCCTGGGAGGAGCAGGAGCTGGGTCAGGAGGTCTGTGGGGAGAGCAAAGAGGGTGACACCGGGATGGGGGGGGCGGTGTCCGGCGGCAGCTCTGGGTCGGGGCGGGGCAGGATCCGGGAAACAGCGGCGGCTGCCGGGAAGGGACCGGGATGGGTTGGGACGGGACGGGATGGACTGGGGTGGACTGGGATACCGGGATACGCTGGGACCAGGAGCAGGACCCAGCAGGACCAGAACTGAGGCAACAGGGATCATACTGAGAGCAACTGGGAACACATTGAGGGCTACTGGGAGCATGCTGGAGGCAACTGGAATATACTGGGAGTGACTGGGATCATAATGGTGGAACCTGGAACCTCACTGGGGTAACTGAGAGTGACTGGGAATGACTACGAGTGTGCTGAGGACTGTAAGTTGGATCTACTGGGAGTGTCTGTAACCATAGTGGGGGTGACTGGGACCACTGTGGGAGCAACTGGGACCATGCTGGGGGGAACTGGCACCATGCTGGGGGGAACTGGCACCATGCTGGGGGGAACTGGCACCATGCTGGGGGGAACTGGGACCATGCTGGGGGGAAGTGGGAGCAACTGTGAGTGACTGGATCTACAATGGGGTAACTGGGATTGACTGGGACCATGCTGGGGGAAGACTGGGATCATACTTGGATTGACTGGATCTACGCTAGGGGCAACTGGGAGCAACTGGGACCATGCTGGGGGTAACTGGGATCAGACCAGGATCATACTGGGAGTGAATGCATCAATGCAAGGGGCGACTGGGAGCAGCTGGGACCATGCTGGGGACAACTGGGATCATATTGGGAGCAACCGGGACTAGACTGAGGGTGACTGGGCTCATACTGGGATAATACTGGCAGTGCCTAGGAACATGCCGCGAGTAGTTGGGATCATGCTGGGGCAACTGGGATACACTGGGAGCAAGTGGAATTATGCCAGAGGTGACTGGGAGCAACTAGGACCACCCTGGGGATGATGGAGAGTGGCTGTGAGCAACTGGGATCATGCTGAAAGCTACTGGGAGCAACTGGGAGTGACTGGGATCATGGTGGGAGTGACTAGGAGCATGCTGGGGATGCCTGGGATATACTGGGAGATAGTGGGAGTGACAGGGTTCATACTGGAAGTGACTGGGACCATATAGGGAGTGTTTGGGATCATACTGGAATCATTCTGGGAGGGACTGGAAGCAACTGAAACCATTCTGGGGGTGACTGGATGTGACTGGGAGTAACTGAGTGTAAAGGGGGTACTTTTGACTTTGATGATCAATGGAGCATAGAGGTGTGATAAAGAAGTTATATTGGGATGTGAAACCAGCCAGAGTATTGTAAAATGTAATTTTATGACACAAGTTAACTGAAAGGTCCATTGTGTCTTCAGCAAGTCAACTTGATGTCCCCTATTATCAGAGCTGAGTTCCTCCTTGGCTTGGCCCCATACTGCAAGATGGACACAAATACCCTTGAAACACAATGGGAGAGGTCGTCCATAGGGGTGAGAAAGATGATGATGAGAGGAAGATTGTGTGGGCAGGGGTTGCTCGCCCCTTGCCCTACAGCAGGGCATGCGCAGACTGTTGCTCTCAGGTGATGAACAGGCGGGGTTTGGCTGCCACTCAGGCATCACCTTATACTGTGTCCTGGCCCTACGTGGTGTAATGTAGAGCTGCTAAAATGGGGTGTCAGGACTGCTGGGGTGAGCGATGCTCATCCTTCACTTGAGATTGTTGCTCCATGGGGACGCCCGCTGAGCATGGGCACCGACCAGCTGCTGCAGATCCTGGCAGCCCTGGCCTGTCTGTGTGGGTAAGCACAGTTTATTGATAGGAAGCAACCGAGAGAACAAACTTTTTAATATCCCTTTAGTGTCCCTTTAGTTCCCCTTTTACTACTGAATATATTTCATAAATAAGTTGTTCATAGTATTTTCCCTTTAATTTCCCCTTTTTACTAACCAATATCGTGTTAATAGTTATCCATAATATTGTGTTAAGATCCCTTTTTGATATGCCTTTAAACTCCCTTTTTACTAGTTAATATCGTGTTATAAATGCTGTTCGTAGTATTTGTTTTTTAAGGCCACACAATAAGGTAGTTATATTGTATCTTTTTTAGCTTTTGATTCTTTTTGCTAAGTTTATTATTATTATTGCTATTTTCACTGTAATAAAGGTATTTTGTGTGTTTGAATGTTTGTGGCCTTGTCTTTATTCCAGACATGTATCCAAACAACTGTTACATACGTCACGAAAAATATATTTTTTTAAATGAAATGGAATGATTTACACAGAGCCTTGGGATGCAAGAAGGTCAGGACATAAAGGATTTGGACACAAAGATAAGGGGGCAAAAGAAATTAGTAGCATTTAGTTATTGAACAATTGAACAGTTATCAAGTAATTCAATAGCATTTGCTACAATTTTAACAGTGACTGAATTATAGATTCACAAGAACAACATTCCCACCACAGTCAATTCACACCCACACCCAGGCAGAGATGTGTGGACACATCAATAGCTGGGTGTGGAAAGGTCTCTCTCCAAAATTCTCCTTGTTGTCAGGAAACACTCCCACAAATCTCTTTGTGTTTCTTTAAGAGCTGGGTTTAGGCAACAACGGCACCTCATGGCCCCTCATGGCCCCTCATGGCCTGTCATGGCCCCTTACAGCCTCTCACAGCCCCTCACAGGCTCTCACGGCCCCTCGTGGCCTCTCATGGCCCCTTGTGGCCTCTCATGGCCCCTTGTGGCCCCTCATGGCCCCTCACGGCCTCTCACAGCCCCTCACAGGCCCTCACAGCCTCTCACATCCCCTCATGGCCTCTCACAGCCCCTCACAGCCCCTCATGGCCTCTCATGGCATCTCACAGCCCCTCGTGGCTCCTCACAACCCCTCATGGCCCCTTGTGGCCCTTCATGGCCCCTTGTGGCCCTTCATGGCCCCTTGTGGCCCCTCACAGCCCCTTGTGGCCCCTCATGGCCCTTCACAAACCCTCATGGCCTCTTGTGGCCCCTCATGGCCCTTCACAGCCCCTCATGGCCCCTCACAGCCTCTCATATCCCCTCATGGCCTCTCACAGCCCCTCACAGCCCCTCATGGCCCCTCGTGGCCCCTCACAGCCCCTCATGGCCCTTTGTGGCCCCTCATAGCCCCTTACAGCCCCTCACAGCACCAGGTGTGGGGATTCTCCCAAAGGAGAAGGGATCAGACCCTGCTTGTCCTCCTTTTAGTTGGGTCATTTTATATCAATGAGTAAAGAAAGGTTGAAATTAAACATTTTGCATCATTTCCCTCTGCTTTAATTTGGGGGGGCCGAAGCTCTCTGCTGACGGTGGCCCGAGTGTGACCATCAGTGCAGCCCCCCAGCCCCCTTTGTTTCCCCCCTTCATTCCTGGTTCCAAAGCCCCTGGCTCTGGAGGAGGCAGAGCTGCAGCGCCGTGGGCTCCGTCCCCGGCCCAGCCGGGGCTCTCGGGCAGGAGCAGCAGCAGCGCAGCCCCTTCCCACCTGCTCTTGCCTTGGCTTTGCCTGGGAAGCCAGAAGCCTCTGGAAATCAGCACAGCCACTGAAATGAGAGCCAGGCCTAAAAAAGTTAATTGAGGTATCTTGGCCTGCTAAGAAACCCCAATACCTGTTTTGCTTGAACATTTTAGGAGCACAGGTTGATCTCATGTTCTCTTCTACTCACTGGACCAAAGGACTTATTATAGAAAGAATAGGAGTAGTACACATATGGTAATAAATAAGGTAAATTAGACATTTGAATAAGATATAGAAGGCCCAAAGCCAGGGTTTTGCAAGCTTGAAGAATTCAGGTCACCTGACAAAGAAAATTGAAGAAGTCAAATCAAAGAAGACATCCATGGCGACCACCAGAGGGATGAAGGCTTGAGGAGAAGACCCCCAGAGTAGAAGACTGTGCATGCCTGGAAAGATTCCACCCAGAGACCAGCCTACTTGTTAACATGTATGTTAA